TGTAGCTTCAGTGTTGTCCTCTGAAGTAAATTCTGGGGAGGAGGGAGAACTGTCCAGGTAGTTGGGATTGGGGTCAGCTCTGGTGAGGGTGCTTATATACCCTTTGGTGTACCTCTTTATTGTATAACTCAGCCAGTTTTTTGAGACAGGCCTAGAAAGTCTAAACAGTTGGATTCACCCATGCTTGGGAGTTTGAAAAAAAAAAAAAAAAAAGATATCAAAAACATTGTGTTGGGGAAATTATGAGTATTGGCATGCATGCTATTGAATTGAAGGGCTAGAAAGTCTAAACTAGGTAAAGAGAAGGTAAGAAAGAAAAAAACAGTAGAGAAAGTAGCAAGGTCAAAGTGTCTAAAAAAGGCTGAAATCATGGTCGAATAAGCAATAATAGTTAATGTTTGAGTGCCATCTGTGCTTCTGGGTAGACCCTACACATATATACATTCATTTTATCCTTAATGCAGCCCTTTGAGGGAGGTTCTTTTAAAATGGAGCCACTTAGTAGAACACGAACTTTTAAAAATCACACAATAATAATAATGAAAATGAGGGAATGTAGAAGTATTTACGTAGTCTGGCTCCAGAGCCCCTAGTAGCATTGTAAAGATATAAGATATATAGCTAGGTGAGAAGAGGAGGATACTGTTGTCAGAGAACACATGGGAGATATTTTTAGATGTTGGCAGACTTGGTGGTCATGTTGGATAAACATTAGACTGCTAACCTTACCAAGTCAGTGGTTCAGACCCACTGCTCTATGGGAGAAAGATGAGACTAGCTGCCCCCGTACAGCTTTTCAGTTATGGGACCCCAATGTAAGGATCACTATGACTCAGTGCTCGTGGGTTCTATAGATGATGATTTCAACCAGAGTGTGACCATGATGTGGACTGCTGACTGAGAGATGGGTCAGAATATTGGAAGGACATCCTCTGAAAACTAACAGCAGTTAACTTGTGGTCCAGTTTGGCGTTAAGACGTATTGCAAACCTAAGTGCTGCAGATGCTGCCGTTTCTGGATGATGGGGACTTAGCGGATTCATTGTGCCTTGTTATTTATAGACTATTTACAGCCTCCACTAGATTGCTGGTTTCTTAAGTTCAGTGACTTTGTCAGTTTTTATTAAACTCTATTTCTGGCTCCTTTTATAGGGCTTGATGTGTGACTAAATATTAGGTAAATGACTCAAAATACACAAATATGCATGAACTGAACTTCATCTTCATGTATTTTCCTTAGCCGACTGATACATATTTTTAACTTCTTCGTTCATTTTTTTTCTTTCGCAGGAAAACCCATAACAGTGGTGAAGACTCAGATCTAAAACAGAGGAGGAGGTAAATAAACAATAACTGAACAGGGAGGAGTAGGGGAAAGGAGTGGATTAGTGGATTAGCAGTGTAACTTCCACTCACTGACTGACTCTCACTATCAGAGAGTTCACAGTCATGGCACTAGTACGGTGTCTACCACTGGACTGTTCAGTACGTTAGCCGTGTAAGCCTGGTACTGTGAACCGTGAGAGTGACTCTGGGCATGGTGATTAAGTTGGTGTCAGTTTTCCTGGGCCGACCTTTTCGGTGTGCGGGCAGTTATGTCCCGGTGTAGCCATCCTCCTTTTGTCGTCTGTTGTCATCACCCTCCATTTTTGCATGTTGCTGATTTGTCACATAGACACTTGGTCTTTGGAGCTTAGCCTTGGCCCTAGGGGAGGAGTCTGGTGCTCATCATTGAGGTAATAGGGGCAAATAATTTCTTTGAGTTTTGTTATTGTTGTTGTTGTTATTTTTGGGTGACTGCTTTAAGAGTGTTCTAATTATTTTCCCCCTTTAATTTCAAAAGCCATGCGTAGGTTTCACCTGCCTTGCAGTGCTCCCTGCAGTGTGTTTGGAGTGCTCTGGTAGAGGTGTTTCCTTTTAAGCTCCTTTTGGGGAAACATGGGGACATTTGCCTTAATCTGCTACCATAGTTCCCTTGGATTGCTATTTCTTTGAGCTTAGATTCAGTAAAATGTCTGACTGAGAGAAGGGTCAGAAAACTGTTTTTTGGTTTTTTTTTTTAGTACTTTTACTGCAAAACTGATTCCAGGGAACCAGCATGCATTTTTCTGAAATTTTCCATTTGTCATAAGTAAGGGTTTATTTCCCGTTGTTCTTCCCACTCTGTCTTCAGGTCCCGCTCACGATGTAACACGAGCAGTGGTAGTGAATCAGAAAACTCTAATAGAGAACACCGGAAGAAGAGAAACAGGTAACATCTGAAGTGTCTCTGGTTAACTAGAAGCCTGACATCAGAGCCTGCCACAGGCTTGGAAGCTTTGTGTCCTGCTTATTTTATATAGCTATACACACACATATGCACACATACATACATGTATAATATGTCTAATAAAGCCTGGATCTGTATGTATATATCATTTTGTTTCCTGTTAAACTCTTCTTTTTCATTAATCTGGATTGTCTCATCTGGGTTTAAGAGAAAATCCAGTACTATTTCGAAGGACTAGTTTAGGAAACCTTAGCTCCAAGTTATCTTACAATCAGATGAAACAAAGCTCTTTTGTTGTTTAAAAAATTGATGATTCTATATTTAGGTACAACATGTAGTGAATTTAATTGAGGATGGTAAGAAATCTTACTATATATAGAGAGATTTCTCTGAAGCATTTTAATTTCTTTAAATATTTTTTATGTATGAATCATTTTATTGGGGAGCTCTTACAAATCTTGTAATAATCCATCATTTAATTGTATTAAGCACCTTGTACATGTGTTGCCTCAACATTTCCAAAAACATTTTCTTTCTACTTGAGTCCTTGGTATCAGCTCTTTGTTTTTCCTCTCCCTCCCACACCCTCCCA